GAGCAGAAGAGAGAGATCAGAGGGAGAGAAGGAATGTGAGAGAGAAGATGGGAGAGAGGCGTACCTGGTTGCAGGGAGGAGAGCGGTTAAGGCTTGGAGACAAATCACTTTGGATGGAAGAGAAAGAGGGAGGAAAGCGCCTAGGGCTTGCAGCGTCAGAGATGCGAGAGATCAAAAAACGACGTCTCCTTCGGGTTTTGAACTCGAAGGCCTTCCCAAACTTAAAACTTCAACGATTTTAGGCGGACAATAAACGTTTGCTTTATTTTTTTCCTTCTTTATTATTTTTATTTATTTATTTATTTTTTAAGATAAAATGATAGATACCCAAAACAAAAAAACGAACTTTGTAAATATCCATTATGGTTTTTGTTCTTATCAAAATACCAAATAATTTTTATTATTACTGTCATGTCCTTTTTAGTTTTTGAAAAACCGAAATGAGCCTTATTTCAGTTGTTGAAACACCGAAAATAGCCTTGACACTTTAAAACTTTATTTACTCTACCCTCTGCATCTCATGTTCGAGTGGTTTTCTCATTTAGCTAGATAAAGTCTCAGTTGCTCTCAAGGTTCTTTTATTAGATAGTAGTTTAGGCGTGGAATATAAATGGTTTCCTCGTAGCTAGAGAAAGTCTCAGTTGCTCTCAAGGTTCTTTTCCTGAACAGTAGTTTAGCTGTGGAATAATGATGGTTTCGCTGTGGAATAGAAATATTTTCTTAAAAAGCAGTTTAATTGTGGAATATAGATTGTCTTTTTCTGGATAGTGGTTTAACTGTGGAAAAAAGATGAGAGATCGACATGTGATGTTGGTCAAGATAGTGCTTGTAGATGTACCCTTCTTGAGGTAAACTACGTAAATCTTTGTCTTCTTGTGGCGTTTGTGTTTCATGTTTTATTTTTATATTATAACTCATATTCTCGTCTATTTTATTTCTAGCTGGATAAGTACAAGGTCCTAATGGGATCCAACATTATGGATCTGTTTCAACATAGGGCTGTTAAATCCTAACATGTTGTTGCGTGTCTAAATATTTTCCATCATCGTATGTGCCTAGGGGTCATTCAGTTCACTATGAAAATAATTCCCAAAATTTTGTTCGGTTAGCTGGATAAGTACAAGATCTTAGTGGGATCTAACTTCATGGATTTTTTGTTTCCACATCTAAGAGGGCCAGTAAATCCTAACATGTTGCATGTCAAAACATTTACCATATCATCTGTGCCTAGGAGTCATTTGGTTCAACATGAAAATAATCCCCAAATTAGTTATTTGTATGAAGATAGAGGCTGCCTTTAGTTCGTACTTTTAAAGAAGTAAAAATTTATTCTATGCTCAAAATGTATACCATAAAATGACCTTTCGATGTGAAAAGAATGGTCGAACTCAATGTTATCAAATTCACTTCGCTTAGGAAAAGAGGCCAAAACCTTTGGAGTTTAGGCATAAACTGAAGCGAAGTAAAGCTTGGTACAACTTTGATTAGATTCGGACAGCTTCGGTCAGATTCGGATTGCTTCGGTCAGGTTCAAACTGCTTCGGGCTGCTTAGGGTAGAGTGATTTTGAATTATATTACAAGCTCAAGATTTTTTATGGATTTTGACGGCATTTCTCGTATTTTGAAGGTATTTCATGGATTTATGATTTATAGTGAAGGTACGTACATATTGATTTGTAAATCGATAAACAACAAATAACCAATATTAATGCAGACAAACACGTTGAACAATATTTACTCAAAACAACAAATACAATATAGTGTACTACTATATATATCAACATAATATACTAGTAAATAAATCAATTGTTCAATAAACGACCCAAAACAACAAATATTAATACAAACACAAAATAAACAACAAATAATTATACAAATAAACAACTTCAACAATGTTTACCCAAAAAAAATCTACTTCAACAATACACAAGAAATAGTTAAACATAAATAAAATATTGTATTAATTTTGACAAAATTAATCAACAGTATAAGGAAAGAATAAGAAAGGTACCGATCAAGACCAGCTTGAGAGCCAATCTCTTCAAGTTTGTGGGATATTGTATTGGGGGATAGAAAAGTTTGTAAGATACTGCTTTGCGGGGACACAAATTTTTGGAACCCTTAAATATCAAGAAAAATGATCCTAGGAGCTTGTATGATGGGGTTAAATTGGGTTTTATGCACGAAAATTATCGATTTTAAAAAATCGAAACTAAAAAATTTCGGTTTTTTAAAAATCGAAATAAAGCTCTTTTCTATTTTAAAAAAAATCGAAAAAAGGTAAAACCATCTTTTTTAAAAAAAATCGTTATGAAGTTAAAAAACGAACATACCAATAATAATGAAAACTATTTGGTATTTTAATAATAATAGAAATTATAGTGGATATTTACATAATTTTCCTTATTTGTAATATCACATCCTAGACTCAACACTCTTTTCTTTTCTATTTACCCCCCCCCCCAATCAGGAAGACACAAAATTAAGATAAATATGCTCTGCTCCTATCTTTCTCTCTCTACCTACCCTCTCTCTTTCTCTCTATCCACCCTCTCTCCTTCTCTCTCTACCTGTCCTCTCTCTATCTATCGTCTCTCTCTACCCGCTCTCTCTCCTTTGGACTTTGTATCTAGTCTCTACCCAACTCTCTCACACTCTCTCTATCTGCCCTCTCTTTCTCCTTCTACCAGCCCTCTCTATAACCGCCCTCTCTCTCCTATGGATCTTTTTTTCTCTTATAGATTTGTCTTGTTTCTCTCTACCCGCTTTTCTATCTCTAAAAATAAAAATTGGGAGGGAGAGCAGAAAAATAGGCAGAAAAAAAAAAAAACAAAATGAGTAGAAAAAAATGGTTTTTCCATTTCTCTCTCTCTCCCAATCTATGGTTTCAGAACTCATGCTTTCAATGGCAAAAATTAAGCGTTTGTAACAAATTTATGAGCCTGCGCGCTTCTTGACACCAACTGTAACTAGACATAGAGTTGGTAAGTTTTCTTTGATTTTGAAAAAGGCTTAACAGTTTTTGCTTAACAAACTCAAGAAATTTAGAGAGAAAAAGTTCGCTTTTGAATTTTGCAGTTGCAGGACGATCTTTTCTGAATTCCAAAATTTTGTATATAGAGAGAGACGGATAAACAAAGAGAGAGAGGGGGCGGGTAGCCAAAGAGAAAGAGAGAAGGCAGGTAGAGGAAAAGAGAGATAGAGAGTGTAGGTAGAAAGGAAGAGAAAAGGCGGGTAGAGAGAGAGGGGGTAGAGAGAAAAGGTGGGTAAAGAGAGTGAGAGGGCAGGTAGAAAGGGGTGGGTAAAGAGAATGGGGGTAAAGAGAATGGGGGTACACATTCAAGACATAGAATGGGGGTACAGTTGGCATACAGATGCCTCCGTAGGTGTAGAGGTACGGTGCCTTTCAAATTTTACCATGGTATATAATTTTGATGTAAAATGTTATTAAGATTATCTCAAAATCTATTTTTATATCTAATTATAAAATTTTAAATTTCAAAAATGATTAAAATCAAGTAGATCCATAAACATATGAAAATCTTGAAAATGAATGGTATAAATAATATGTTGTAAAATGCACTATTTCTGACATTTAAAATCTTTTTATTTTTCATAGTCATACATCTCGATGTCGAGATGATCCATCAAAAGGTTTTTCAACTATAAAACTACCTTTTTCTATGGATTTTTGAGGGGCATCCGTAGTTCTACATTATAAGATAGCATCCTTGTATAAACTTTTTCCTAGAATGGGCGACCATAACCAAGTTTTACCTCGAGTCCAAGCAGTTTAACATCATCTGATAAGATGTCATACAGGTTTGGGTGAAGTGCATGGACCATATGTCATGCAATTTTAGGTGATGTGATGTGACATTTTTTGCCCGGAGCACCCGTTGTAGGGTTTTTATCACAACCATCATTTTCCCTTTTGCCTTCTTTTTTCTTTTCCTTTTTTTTTTTTTCTTAACAGACGTTTTTTTGTTATTTTCTTCTTTTTTTTAAGGGGGCAATATGGGTGCAATAAACCCATGGCGTGTCGCACGATTATGTGATTTGCCTAAAACACGATCCACTGGGGAGCATGGGACCACCTTGCTCTTAATAGGGTTCCTCTGTGGAACATCGCACCTTTGGGGTGAATTATGTTGCAACTAGGTGATAAGATGTCACACCTTTGGATCCTGCCCTGGCCGGACCATAAGCCCCTAGCCCTGGCATGGCTGAGCTGGGCCAGGTCTAGGTCCAACACAAACCAAGAACAATAGAAATAAAAAGACAGTCAAGGACACCTACAACACAGGAGGAAACCAAAGCTCAATTACGCCTCCCGGAGAACTGCAGAAATGGCTGACTGCAGTAAAAGGTGACCGGTGGCCGTACTCAATTGCTCGATGTGCCTTGCCACAACAAAAACTATCAAATATTCCCATCTTTTTATTTATTTAGGTGTGCAAAATCCAATTAAACCTCTCAATAATTTTCTCCAAAAAGAACGCTGACCATGAAATCATTTCAAAAAAAAATGGACAGATAAAGGGAAAAATATAGGGATGGGAAGGCACATGTATTTTATTTTTGTTTGAAGTAATGTACATCTAATTCACCAAATGGTAAAAGATTTTATACTGTCTATTAACTTCCTCGGGTAAAATCCTATCCAAAGGCAACTTCAGGACCCCAAATTTTAGGAATGTAACATTTACAACTAATAGACGGACCTCAAAAGAGGAAACTTTTAAATCACACTCTTTATGCACTTCAAAAAAAAATGTCTCAAAATTGAAAAAACACTTTAGGGTGGGATCGAAGTGTTAGAAAACGTACTTTTTCTTTCTTTTTAAAACAATCATCTAATGATTGTTAAGAGGTTCCAAAGTTTCATACTAAACAATTCCTCGCAAATAAGTCTTATCCCCGAGGGATTAGATGTATGATACGCTCCCATGGATCATAGCATACACGCTCCAAATAACATGTATGCTAAAATGTGAAGGAAAATGCCAATTATGATGATTACGTTGAACGATTAATATTGTTGGAAACAATAAAGGGTATTACACTAAATGGAAAAAGGAAAGCCCAATTTCAGGAAAGTAAAAGGGTAATACAAAATTCAATTTTGAAGAGGGAAGAATAAAGGGCGTTTGTAAGTTCAATTTTAGAAAGGAATCAAATGCAATAAATTTCAAACACATGCATCTCAAAAACAGTCCGCATCTTCATCTGCCTCTTCAATCTACACACTGCAGGCAGCATCCCATCCTGACGCCATTCACCACAACTCTAAATGTATACAATTCAGACCAATGTGGAGGTTGGAGAGGGAAGAGAGGAAAATTCCATTCACCACAACTCTAAATGTATACAATTCAGACCAATTTGTGGAGACTGGCGAGGGAAAGAGAGGAAAATGGCTACCAACAACCAAAATCCTCTCAAGAAAACAATGCCCCTTCCACATAAGGCATGGCTGCCTCTGTCCTTTTTCTCTCTAACCCCCACAATTTCCCTAGATCTGCACCCTCTCAAACCACACTCTGAGCCACCAAAGCGCGCGCAGCAAGCACCAATCATAAAGTACTACAACTTCTGTGTAAACTCGACAAACCAAGTCTTGTCAAGCACGCATTGCAATCACACCAAGCACTACAACTTCTGAGTAAACTCGCAACACCCAAGTGTTACAACTTCAGCATAACATCACATAGGTCCGACCAAAATGCAACCTAGCAGGGAGCACTCAAATTGGAGTAACAAATGCTACAGAAGCACTGGACTATATCCATGAGAATATGAAGATTCAGGAAAAGAATCACGACATGTACCCCCATGCGGCGCAAGAAAACCGTCATGAAGATCATCAGTATATTCTTAAGACTGCGCACAACTAAGCCAATGCGCTCGAGAAATCTGCAGCAATAAAGACGTCAAGGGGATGCAAGCCTTGCAGTTGGTCGTCAGATTTGTGAAGCTGTGATGTGGGGGCCTAATTCAGAACTTCCCACACATTCAAAGAGATGAGGAACTCAACAAGCTCATTGATGTATCTTGAGCATGGTTCTAATTCCCCTTGTGGGTGATTCGTTTGTTTGTTATCTTTCTTTGCAGTGTGAGTAAAGATGTTGGTCTTTACCCATTGCAATAGTGGGAAAGCTCCAACACTATTTGCAGCCCGTATAGGTGCTTTTTTATAATTAACTCCATGTTTTTCTTGCTGGTTAAAGTGCTGTTTGTTTTCTATGGCAATAAGGCTGCCAGTCAGAGATGTTATCAGTGGGAACTTGTGAAATTGGACGAAAAATTGGACATTGGTCATGGTTGATTTATTATGAAATTCAAGGTTAGCATTAATAAGCAGCTCCATATTAGGTGTCTCTTCTCTTTCTTGTAGTGATTGTCTGAGAAAATAAAAAACAAAGAAACAACATCTAATGTTAAACAACATTATGACTCCATGAATACTAGTTAACTATACATTCTTCTGTCCATTTCACAACATATGGGTCTCAACTATGTATTCAAGATCGTTGATTTGAGTTGAGATCTACTCTTAAGAAGGGATGGTTAGTTATACACAGGCACATCAACTCTCTTATGCTTTCAGGTGCACATCAAATGTTCTGCATGACATCTAGATTCCAAAATCATTTGAGAAATGAATTCTTAAAACTAAGATTAAGATCTTGAAGGATCGTCTGCTGTACTCTGGTCCTCTGAATCAATCTTCTCACAGTATACATTCCAAGCCATACAACAATAGGCCCACTCCCGCCTACTAGTGGCCCACAACAGTTGACAAGTTTCACAAGATATTTTAATATATGTTACAAAGTCATGCTGATAATGCAAGTAGTCCCAACTCTTTCCAAATATAACTCTTGCATTCCCTCTAGGGAAATCTATAGGCATATCTACCCCAAAGAAAATAGTTACCAAGCTTATAAATATTGAAATGCATAGAAAATTCAATTTTATTTAAAAATACCCATTTCATAAATGTTTAAAATTAAAAAAAAATATCAATTTAAAGATATAACTTGTTTTTCACACTTTAATGGTAGAAAGTACTGCAATATTAACAGCACCTTCAAAATAACATGCATACACTTTCATATCAAAAGTCGAACGCATCATTTAAGAACACCCTGCATTGCTCGATTCAACTCACATAAAATTCATAAGAAATTGGTTCAAAACTAATTTTAAGAAATATGAAATACTTTTAATTTGCATATAATTAATTCCTGCAGATGGAACAAAGGCAAGGCCCACCGCTGTACAATCTAAAATTCAATAAAGCAAACAAAAATGACCACGACCCACTCACAAGGCCATGACCATTGCAGCTGGGCAGATTCAAGATAGCATATCCGAATTGTCCCATTTATCCCATGGCCTTTGGAGCATTAACCAAGCTAATCTATGGAGGAAAATGAACCGGCAAACTATTTAGGGATGCAAGATATTGAAACTAGAAAAGAAATTGTGGATGGCCTGAGAATTAAAAACCTTTGGGAGAGGTTGTTTTGAAAAGCTAATGACTCTCAGGTTGTCAGGCGAGATTATTATGAAAGGTGAAGCTAAAAATGCGGTCATTCGACAAAATAAATTAAATCATTAGAGGGAAAGACTATCATTAAACGAAAAGGAAGTCATTAGGCAAATTGAATTGCTCACTAAATAAGTTAAACCTCAAAAGAAAAATAAATAATGAAAGCACAATTTCAGTTTAAGCCTGCATTAAATTTGAAAGCCTAATCTTAAGTCCTTCCCTGTCATTAATTAGAGAAATGGACTACCACCCATTCGAAGCTGAACCACTAACTTAATTGCCTTCTTACTAGAAAATACAAACAAAATAAAATAATAACAATAATAATAATAATAGAGTAGCATGCAGTGCAGATACTTAGCGAACCAAGACAGAATAATAAAAAGAAAATATACTAAATACTGTAACATAAACAGAACATTATCGAAACACTGGTTTTACATAATAGATGAACCCCACAACTACAATATCAACATTTAAGGGGATCAAAGTAAGCATTCATTGATTAAATCGTAAGCATTCATTGATTAAATGGGTGGGTTACAATGCCTGCTTCTAAGTTAGTATGCTTAAATATTATAGAGAAAATGACGGTTGGAGGTTCAACTAACAGAATGCAGGTCCATCTATTTGGTCAACCTCGATTTTCGCCTTCTTTTACCTTCTGGTGTGCACTTGACTCTTCCAGTGTTAAGAGAAGACTTGGAGTTAGAGTGAGAAAACGTACCAGATGAGGTGACTTCTTGAAAGGATGAACTAGTGAGAGAGGCTTCATTAGCCTGGTTCTGACATCCCTTGCCTAAGGGAGACTTCAATCTCTTCAATGACATGCCGTGCTTTCCAGCGAAGGAAGGGGCCTTATAACTCAGCATTTCCTCATGCTTTTTACTACTACTAAGAAGCCTCACATAGAAGGGATTGGCGGCACTAAAACAAAAAGCTGCACCATTTGATGAAACTTTGTCTAGAACAACGTTCCCATTGTTTACCTGGGAAAGAGAACAGAATGTTACAAATGGGGAAATAAGAGGCAAATTCCTATCCCAGCCAAACTACATGGCACTCCCAAGCTACATCCACAGATCTACTATCTCTTCCAACTGATGGATAGTTAAGGATTAACAGGATTGGGACCACATTTAGAACAGTTGGAGGTGGCTCAGAGTACAATATACCAATGCCTGTCAAACTGAAGTATACTTTCCCAAGCAATGCAACAAAATTGCTACCTGTGCAAGCATTTAACTAGCAGCTATTTAACAAAGGAGGAAATATGGAAAATTTATAATCCAGATGATCATTTAAATGACCTCATTATCCACAAAACTATCAAATTCTTAAGCAAATCGACTGCTAAGATCACTAATTACAGGAAATCACAAAGAAAACAATTACCAGTTGGAGGAGAGCAGAGAAGCTCCTTGCAACCTCATGCTTCTCTTGACCCCCAACAATATCAGTGAAGGGCAAACCACTGTTCCTCTTAGGGTCTAAGGACAGCTTCTCAATAAGTCTCTCACCATAAGCATGGATATCAAAAGGTGGGTGGGAATCCTGAACAGATAAAAGGATAACATCGCTGACTGCTAAGCAATTAGAGTTTTAACATGGGAAAGATAAGAGAGATAAAGAGAGGGGCATGGCTCCCCATTTTACTTGTTCTTCTAAGTTGTGTTCGATCTTCTGTTTCCATGTTGAGACACGGGCAGCCAATTCTGTTTGCTTTTCAGACTCTGCTATACTAGCAAGGAGGGCATCCTAAAATATAATTTTGAGGTCAGATTATCTTTTACGGCTGAAAAACAAATTAGTAGGAAGAAACAACTTCAAATACAACTTGCATGGATGATTTCACACCCATTCACCATGAGAAAGTGGCATGATCTCATGAATTAAACAGAAAAAAAAAAGAAAAAGCCGGAAGCCAAGGCCCAGCTTTTGACAAAACACACAAACGCATGGCATGCTACACAGATATGGCATGCAGAAGCATATAATATGTGCATAGTTGTACTCCTCTTTACTCAATAGAACAGAATGGTTAACAGTTTCAAAAAAAAAGAAAAAAGTGCATAGCTTACTTTTGAGGGGTTTACATATTATTTTATGAGAATAGACGAGCCATATTCGAACGGATACCAAAAAGACTCAAACTCTTTCTCCAATATTACATCTGATCCAGTATCATCATTATCTTCATCATCATCCAAGCCTTATCCCAATTATTTGTGATCAGTTTCATGAAAAGATATGGCAGAGTTTTACTCCGGCTGCCCAACTTAACACATCCCTCCTCCTTAATCCAGGCTTTGGACCGGTATGACCGGCATGGGACCGGCCATGGTGGAGTTGCCACTTCATCCAATATATATAAAATAAAAGTTAAGAGTGTAAATATTTCCATGGAAATAGTCTTTTTTTATTTTTGCCATGGAATAGGGCAGAAGAATTCCACTTATCCCATGATGAGGGGAAAACAGTACAGAAAATAGAGAGAGAAAAAACAAGCAAAATGAGAGGAAGAGAGAGTGGGAGACAAGCTCTACCACTTAGATTTTCTATTCAAATTTCATTAGTTTCAATTCAAGATTTCACATATATCAAAAAATGGTACGACACAACCCCCTTTATACTTACTTTTTGCCAAATGGTCAACATTTTTTAAAGCCATATAATTTCCATCCAAAAAAAAAATTCTACAACTTCCTAAGACGCTATTAATCATCATACTTATTTTCAAATCTACCATAACTTCCAAACACACAAGAATCCATAAATTAGCTCTCTTTGACTTCCCTAGACATAAATGACCCTAGAAAATAACAAACACAATAAACACACTGTGGAATAACAAAAATCAGGTGAAATGACACTTTGGGAACCCACACTGCCATATCAACAGTCCAAGTCACTCATAAACTGTCCTACATGGCAACGAGGGCCCACGTTCGCCTACATCAGTCTTCCCATGTGCAAAAGAACTCACCCATGAGTCATATTGGCAACCCTGCAGTGGTCGGTTAGGTCTTGCACATTAAATGTTGGATGCATGCAGATAGGGGCAACTCGAGGGTGTAGGCGTTATCAGTGATCTCTTCAAGATACAGCAGAGTCCATTTTCTTCTCTTTGAGGTTTTTATAGGTTCCCATCAAAAACTCCTCCTTTCGAGGAAGTCCCACACAAGGTCTCCTTCTTTGAAAACATGTTTCCGTCAATGAAACATCCGTCATTGCTTTGTATTTGGCATTAGTAACTTCGAACTTTTTATAGACTTCAAGGAGCTTAACCATACTTTTGGTGAGGTCTTGGGAAGTATGGTTTGGTGGAGTTGAACTGGCCGGAACAAGGTCTAGGTAGTCCATAGGGACCTGCTCATAGACCACCTCAAAAGGAGCCTTGCCCGTCGAATGGTTCACCATCGAGTTGTATGCAAACTCGGCGTGGGGCAGCACGGTCCGACAATTATGGCCTCTTTCCCAACAAATTCCGGAGAAGATTGCAAAGGGTTTGTTTTACCACGTCCATTTGCCTGTTCGTTTGAGGGTGATAGGCACTAATATGATGCAAGTCAGTCTCCAACTTCCTCCACAAGGCTCTCCAAAAACGGCCAAGCAATTCGGTGCCTGGTCCAATGTGATCGTCTTAGGAATGCCATAGCGCTTAACCACTTCATGAAAATAGAGATTAGCAATCTAAGAAGTATCCATGGTTTTCTTCCACGGAGAAAAATGAGCTACTTTAGAGAATTGATCAACGGCCACAGAAATGGCATCCATGCCATTTTAGGTCCTTGGCAATCCAAGAACAAAATCCATACTCGGATATGGATACCCATGGTGTTCAGGAGAGTAATACACCAGCTAAGTGCATCAGCCACTTGATTAAGTTGCCCGCTCTTGTGCTAATAAAAAGCTATTTTCATGCAAAAAGACAACCCAATTGGCATGCCGGCAACTAAGACTTCCTTAGTTGTTTATGTGCTTCAAGGCTTCATGATCTAAGTTCAAAATGAACACTTTTGGAATAACATAGTGCTGCAGCAAAAGGGCCTGCACTATTGCATACAACTCAAGGTTATAGTTGGAGTAATTTCTCCTTGATTCATTGAGCTTTTTGCTGAGAAGGGAAATTTCTTGGTTGAACAAACCGTCAATGCTCACGTGCAAGGCATTACAATCAGTGTTTTCGAAAAACGGTCTGCCATGTACCTAGGCACACCTGCCGGACCCCATGGCGCACGGCCAAGCATGGGCAACCCCCCGTAGGCACCAGTACCTGGGTGCCCACCCAGGCAGCCTAGGTAGGCACCAAGGGCCATGCCCTACGCCCTTTATTTGTGAATAAAGTGCCCCTAGGGGGCAATTTTGGGTCATTTTTTACCCACATTTTCTTCTTAAAAGGCCTTTGGGGGTATTATAAACCCCTAAAGTCAAAAAAAAAAAAACCATTGGAACCAAATCTATTGATTTTGAGATCTCTGCGAATCGAAAAAAGTAAAAAAATAAAAATTCTAAAATTACAAGAAACATCCATCAACTTACTTCTCATTGTTCAAATTTTTTTTCAAGAGATTTGAATATTAATGCGGTGCTTTCTAGCTTGAAAGATATCAAAAACATCGAATAACAAAGATCAAGCTAAAAGGTTAGCTTACACTCAATATTTGAGAATGCTTTTTCAAATTTGGCATGTCTTCATCAGGGTCTAATAGAAGTGGGGATCCAAGATGGAAGTATTGCAAAAACCCGGATAAAATAACAAAAATAAAATAATCTGCAATTCTTGAGGACATATTTCGAATGCCGGGAAAAATAGACTTAAGAAACATCTCACTGGCAGAAGAGGGGATGCTGCCCCACATAAAAAGTTCCTGATTTTGTAAAGAAAGAGATTGATGACTACATAGAAGCTGAAAAAAATTAAAAATTAGTAAAGGAGAAGGATAAATCAGAATTGAAGGCAGGGGTTAGCGTTTTTCAGGATGGAAATAGTGATGAGGATGATCAAGGGGAAAAGGAGGTGCGCCAAGAGGCAGTATCTCAAAGTTCTAGGGGGCGTTTGGGAGGCATTGTATGAATTTTTTTTTTGTTTTTTTTTTGCACCTAACCCAGAGAGTGCAGTTGAGAAAGGGAAAGACGAGTGGAAGAAGCGACACTAGAAAATCAATATAAGGAAGATCGAGGTTGGGTAATTCGGTATATCACTAGTTTCTTCTATCATGCTGGCATTTCTTTTAATATTGCGCACTTAAGCAGCTTCCATACAATGTTGGAAGCAATTTTCCAATTTGGGCCAGGGTCAAAAGGCCCAACCCCTTGTGACTTTCAAAGCCACTAATAAAGGAAATGGAGCACACAAAGGAGCACCTCAAGACCCATAAGGAACGGTGGGCTCAATACGGGGTTTCCATAATGACAGGCACATAGAGTGATTGGAGGAGGAGTAGGCATATTATGTTGGTGAATTGTTCCTTAGGTACAATAGTCGAGATCCATTGATGCTTCTGAAGATCTTCATGATGCATATTACATATTCTCTTTTATTGATAAGGCAATTGAGGAGGTTGAGGAGGAGCATGAAATTCAAATGGTCACAAATAATGTACTCCTAATTTGCCTACAGCTTATTCACTTCACCTCGCATATTTTGGACACCTTGCGATGCACATTGCATCGACCTTATGCTTGAGGTATTGTGGGCAGGTATAGTATTAAAGAGACACTTTCGAATGTTAAGGAGGTCACAATCTTCATATACAACCGTACCATTACCCTTAGCATGATGCACAAGTTTACAAAGAAGAAGGAACTAGTGAAGCCTAGGATCACTAAGTTTGCTACACTGATTACCTGAGTCTTAAGAGCATTTATAGCAAGAGGATCGCATTAAGATCTATGTTCACTTTAGAAGATTGGAATAGGTGTAGGTGGTCCAGAGATCCCAAAGGAAAGAGGGCCTAAGATATTACTCTTTCTAAAGTTTTTTGGCGTGGGGTGAAGCACTCATTGTTAGTATTTCCACCCTTTATCAAGGTCTTACACTTGGTTGATGCTAAAAAGCCCTCTATGGGATTTATATATGATGCACCAATTTGGGGAATTGTAGATGATAAGTGTGTTTAGCAGCTTCATAGACCATTGCATGCAGAGATGGATATTCAGACAAAAGATGCAATCATGAATTTTGAATGAGTGCCTTGAGAGACTAGTCCCTGCGGTGGAAATCAAAGATAAAATAGCAGGTGATGTACTCATTCTATATAAATGCTCTCTAAAGTCGTTCAGGAAACACATGGCGGTGAGACAAAGAACTAAAACAGATCCCGGTATATATTTCATTTGAAAGTTTTCTTTCAAGTTCCTTCATTTAAGTTGTATTTTAAATTCTTCAAAATTCTTTATGAATTATGATAACATTAAATTACAGAGATTGCACCCAAATTGCAGCCCAATGGTGGAGCATACATGAAAGTACTATCCAAACCTCCAGAAGATGGCTATTCACGTTTTGCGTTTAACAACTAGCTCTTCTGGTTGCTAGCGGAATTGGAGTTTGTTTGAAATGGTATATTTACTTTTTCATGTTTAGTTGTTTACAAGTTCATTTTTCTACAAACACAGAGTACATTAATACCAATTTAAATGGCACAAGTAGATGTAGAAGTAAATTGTACTCCTACATTTTTTTCTTATAGGTGCATACAAAAAGAAGAAATAGGCTTGAGCAGAGGACACTCAATGATTTGGTATTTGTCAAA